GCTCTTCCCATTTTGTCAATATCTTTGTTTGGGGGGCATAAGTCCAAAATAACAATAAAAATAAAATTACAAAGACTTCTGGTAGAAAACGAAATCACAGAACTGATGAGGAATCTATTTCAGTACACTGCTGTAGAGTGGAGTGAGTGAATGGAAGTGTACATCAGTGTTGTAGGTTCTCGAGACCTGGTCTCAGTCTCGAGACCGTCTCAAGACCTTTTTTGTAGTCTCGGTCTCAGTCTCGCCCTGTCCAAGTCTCGGTCTTAGGAGGGCTGGTCTCCGTCTCGAAAGCGCCGGTCTTGTTCTCCGTCTGGTCTCGGATTTGGGTCTCCCCCTCGAGACCATAACAAAATGCGCATCTAGCTACCATGCATGTACGCGGTTGAAAAAGGCAAAATCACCTCCGCTCGAGTCAAATCTTCAACCACTGATATAAACACAACACGGTAATGTTCAGATTTTTTGCAATGAACAAAGAAATTGATGCTGGAATGAAAACTAGTCAATGCAGCATGATGCAACCTTGTCCCAAGTTGTTACTTTATTTCCAATCCAGAGTAGCTATGCTGCTTGACACCATGGAGATGAGGTTGTGAGTAGCAGAATTCGCACACTAGACTGGTTCCCGTTCCCCACGTAGTCTCCTGCTGAATGTAGGGCCGGGATGGGAACCAGTCCCTGTGTGTGTGTGCACGTGTGAAAGTGCTTTTATTCTGTCTTGTATGTGGTACGTGTTTTAGTAGTTTTGTTATGGTACATCTTTTTTGGATATTTGTTTTTCAGTATTTTGCTTACAAAAAACAGTCTAAGGATATTTGTTTTAATGTTCACATCATATCATTTGGGACACTCGGGTTGAAAATGACCAGATCAGGGTAAAAGTAGAACAGTATCACTGATAAAAGAACTGAGACATTCTTTAACAAATATTTGACCTATTTGTGTGTATGTTTAGGCAAATGTTTTCATTTTATTTCTTTTGTACTTAATTGTACTGCCATATGTTTGTCCTATTTACCTTTTGGTAAAAGCTAAACATTGGTTTATGGTTGGTCTCGGTCTCGGATGTCGTGTTCACGGTCTCGGTCTTGACCTGCAAACGTCTCGGTCTTTAAGTCCTAGTCTTGTTCTTGAAGGAGTAGGTCTTGGCTTTGGTCTCGGTCTCGTATGCCTTGGTCTCGGTCTTGGTCTCTGACATAAGGTCTCAGATACAACACTGGTGTACATGCTGTACCATTACAAAAAAAGTACCCTTCCTGAGTTGTGTGGTCAACAGAAGAAACAGAGTCAAACAAAAAGAAAAAACACAAGTGTGTTCAAGGGCGGATCCAGAACAAACCTTTCAGCCAGACACATCCTTTTTGTCATAAGAAAAACAAGAAACCTCCCACGAGGGTCACCAAGTGTGTGATCAGTATTTTAGTTGTACAAAGATATCTACATAGCCAGCACACATGCTGTGTATTTGGTCCGAGCAGGAACAAGAGACGTGTGGGCCCTACGGTAAGTACTCTCCTCATGCACGAGCAGGTTCAAGCACGTTCAGCTCTGGGCACACTGAGCACGTGCCAATGATTTCTGTTTGAATGTATGGTCTTTGCATGTCTGCTGGGCCCTTGCACAAAATGCCCCTTGCCTGTCTCTTTGCCACTGATGTGCTTCATCTCAAGGCCAATAACATGCTCAATTTGGTTATGAATATTCATAAGGTAAAGTAACATGTAATGCAAACAAATGTGAAAATACCACGTTCTACTCAGAAGCTATGCAGAAAAGAATGTTAAAAATAGGAAATAATCAAGCATTTCCCAATAAAGCTTATAACATCATGATGACATCACTTCAATTTTATTCAACACGCTCTATACACATGCCAAGTTTAAACCCAATCAGACCTCTTGTTCTGTATATATATGTCTCTGAAAATTGCACCCTTAACACAATGTTACACGACACACATTGACAACATCAAGACTTCATTTCAATTTTACTTACAACATGTCCCTGTGTAAGGACTGGTATCTCAAATGTTTCGATCAAATCAGACTTGTATCACAGACTCTAGAGGGTTTCAATAGTGCACCTTTAATGTGCATCTATCAGCACTGTATTCTAAGAGTCCTTCCTACCAACAATGACAAAATCAAATTTCACAAGGCATAATTTACTTAGTGCTGGTGCTCACCTAACCAGCATTTCCCGGCAAACTTTGTTCTTTTAAGAGAGCTTACAGATTCCGGATACTAGGCAAAATTACAACGTGCAGTATAACCAAGACTTGTATTGATTTTGCCCATGTTTTTTCCTAAAAGCTAAGGTTTTTGCACTTCCATAGTTAAATAATGATTTCTCCTTGTGAAGATTTGATGGTTTGAAAATTTGGTTTACGTGGCCTCATGCTTATTGGCGGGCGGAAACAAGCACCTTACAGGAAATTATACTTGGCAATGTCTCAGCATCATATGTTTGATGCATTTTCTATTTCATAAATTTAATCAGTGCTGTCCTGCAGTAAAATGATTCTCTTTTCTTCAGTATAGTTCGTGTCAAATTTAAAAAGCAGTAATTAAAAATCATAGGCTCTCTGAAAAAGTGCATCAGTGGCACTAAAATGCAAACATGGTGCCATTTTCGTCCTGCCGCACTCATTTTAGAGGTTTTATACACATTCAGTTCAAAGTTATTTGCAAGAATCTTGCACTATTTACTCACAAAACAGTGTATAGGATATACATTTCCCCAGCTTCCATGAATAACAACCAAACTAAAGCCACCCGTAATTCCTGCATTCCTGCACTTGTTTCAATCTTTTGCCCAGGAACATCACTTCAGGAGTCTGATAAACTCTGTGTCCAACCACTACAAAACTTTGATTATATTTTCAACACCTCATGCTGTCATGAAGACAACTGACTGCACCTTTATCCATGGCATTGCCAGAACGCCGTGCATCTCCCTTCAATCTTTGCACCGGTACATGTATTTTGAAGTGTATAAAGAAAATTTATAATACTACAGAGAATGCTAGGATTCCACACCTTACCACGCAAGAAATTTTAAGCTACTGGTTTGCTTTTAACACAACAGGGGCCATGTGCCTTGAATACCATACAGCCAACACTTAAAAACTGACGGCTCTCTCCATTTGTATTCATTTTGTCAGGAAAAACTTTCAAAATTGACGGCACTTAAGTGCATGAAATTGGCTAGCAATCACATATATGAATCAATGAAGCCTCCAAAGTGGCGCACTGGAGGGAAAGGCCAATTGCACAGAAGGAGCCGACATTCATTGAATATTTTCACTCCTTTTCACTATTGAACAAGAAGACATGTACCTGTGTGGGAACATACTTTGTCAGGCCTGTGCATGATCAAGGAGTGCTTGCTTACTCAGTGCAGAGAGCCTTCGAATTTGCTTCATTTTATATGAATTTGACATCTGTAAAGACTATGAATTGTTCAGCTGTCACAAAGCGTTAACATAATGTTTTTTTGTCTCAAGTCCAACAAACTACAAGTTTCTAAAGCTGATTTTGCCCACGTGCTAGAAGTAGGTAGTATTCTCCAATCTAAGAGTGCCTGGTTGTCATCTTTGCAAATGGATTGAGAAGCAATCGTCCCTCATTTGTACATTATTATTATGTTCATTTAAGGCAACAAAAGTGCTCAAAATCTACAGGGGGCTGCTTTCCAACTAAGCTTACTTTGAGCTCAGTAAATGCTGTATATACTAAGGAAAATACCATTCTAGGATCTTAATTTCAAATCAAAATGTGTAGTCATGTGTTGAGTTGCACCTAAATTCAGCATCCAAAACACGCTCTCATTTACCCAGTTACAGCTGCATGATGTGTTCCAGGCTGATGAACTATAGTGACTGCCCAAAAGTGCGCATCATGTCAATTGTACGTGCTTTGCTAAATCAAAATAAAGTTCTTGTGGCCATTGACAAAAATGTGTCTCAGACACTATTGGAAATGGCCTTCTTTCATTGCTTTTTTCAAATTGACAGATTGCTAGAAAGAATTATTTCACAGAGAACTTTGTCCCATCAGTATCTTTAAGACGCGTATGCTTTTAAACAATTTTGTTAAAAAAAGTTACTTAACGGACAGCTGCAAATGTGAGATTTCACTTTTGAGAAAACCCAATGACTGGAAGTCATGCAGTGATTACCCCTGCTTTGTACAACCCCAAAATACCTGATAAGCAACCACCTGCAGACAGTGGCATAAATCTGCTTGGGTGAAATTTCTAGGAGGCATCTACGGTATAAACCTTTTTTTCAGAGGCGGAGGGCACCAAAAGCTGATGAACTGGGCTTGTACCAGTACATAGGATATGTACATGTACCTTTTAAAATAACAAATTGGGAGGAGGTAGGGACATGCACCTTCACTTGGAGGAGGGCGCACATGCTCCCTGTAGTTATGCCATTGACTCCAGACATTCACCGTTTCACTGCCAAAGTACATGGTAATATCTGAACATCTTTTCCTAAATCCACTATGCCGCAGTAAGTTAGCATGCACATTCTTATCAAAATATCAGATATTTCCAATACTGCAATCACATCTTTTGGCTTCTTTGAATATGTTCAAATGAAGAAATACTCAACATTTCACAGATTGATTGACCAAGGAGAGTAGAGAGTTCTGAGTGTTCCTAGACGTGCAAACACCATATTGATGAAAAACACCAGCATCCCCTCAAGTTCTATATAGGTTTTACACAATGCAGCACACAAGAGTAGCAATCAATCCTTATATTTCTCATTACTTGTAAATGGACATTGAAATTGGACCAAATCATTGAATTTGATTTACAGAGGCAGAATGGGGCAGTAATTGGTGTAATGACAATATAGAGAGTATAATTAAGTTAATGTATAAAACTGACCATAGGGATCGATTAGTTCTCCACTGTCAATGGAAATGACATGACACTGCGCTGGAACTGTCCATGGAGAGGACAGATGAAAGAAAATGCAAACTGACCTTAAGCCAAATAGGAAGGTGGTTCAGATAATTCACGACGTCTTCATCTAGAAATGGAAAGCGAGCCTCACGTCCATGGTCAGATATAATTCTGTATCAAAGGCAAACAGAGATTAGAGAAAAGAAGGAGCTCCATTTAGATTTGCTAGAATGCCAGAGAATAACGATTACTTCTGGAGCACTTAACTTTAAGCATCAATATCTTCCTCGCTTTGAATCCGAACAGTACGGCAAACGAAATTGGTTTACATCAGGGAAGAGTTGCAAATGGTTTCTGAAAGTTGTCCTCAAAGATTACGAACTAAGCTCTGTCTCAGTAGACAACTACTCTGAACAAAGAAATCGACTACCATTGAGCCAGAACAAGAGTAAGTCTGTGCTTTCTTTGTGTGTCTGTTCATCACTGGTAAAGCAATACATGCACTGTCAGGTATTTATAAATAGCTATTTGCCTCCAAACCTAAAATTCAGCAGCTACAGTTTTGCCACCTTTAACAATACAAAAGAAAAAGACCATTACATCAGGTAACATTTTATTCCACAAGAGAACATATATATAGCTTGATGCCTGATGAGAGGCAAAATGACAGTGAACATCATTGTATCGCACAGGAACATCTGTCAAAAGCATGTTATGTTTTCACAGAAAAGGAAAAACGCTCCACATATATTATCCTTTGTACAAACTGACCAGGTGTGCAGAAAGTGGTAGCAAGAGCGTGTTCATTTGATTTCCAAACCCTGACAGCCTAAGTTCTTTTCAGACATTTTCTATCTTTGCTTTCTATCTATTCATGAAAACTGATTTGGAAATTGCATTTGCGCCATCATCTGATAACTTGGCCCCTGCAGAGGGGCTTCGAAAAAAGATCAATCCTTTCAACAATCAAAATAAGACACCCTTTGCTAAGGATTCCTTTTGTGCTATGTACACTGTGTAGAGACTGTCAAATAGAGTTTCCAGGAGAACAGACATAATGACTCTTCTTCAAGATTCTCTTGGTGGTCGGAAGCTGGAATACCCTCACCATATCTCAATGGATTAGCCAGACCTGCGCTTAACAAGAGGGATTGCTGGCAAATTATAAGTCTTGCCAGTCTGAAGGGCCACTGTTTGAGAGGTTTGAGAGGGAGTGGCTGCAACCCAAACAAATAACCCATCAAAAATAACTTGCCTGCTTAGAGGTCCGAGTTATCCCAGTGGATAACAGACTTTAAAGCTCTAATACCAAGTGGAGGTATAGTGGAACGTCACTGTAACAAACACAACGTGGCCACAAAAAATGCTTGGTATAGCAGTCATTCGGTACAGCAATTTTCAGTCATGAATACACGCGCCCATTCCAAACTCTGGCCACTATTTAAATGTGTGACAACCCGCCCCACAAAAAGTTTTGGTATGAGGATTTTGCAAGGGCCTAATCTTACATGCATGAAAGGTAAAAAACAAAAGAAAACTTCTGCATTTTTTATTATGTTGATCTCCTTTCATGTTTCCGATAGTCCTCACTGGAAGAAGAATAGCGAAATGAAAACAACTTTTTTCTTGAGTCATCGCTCAAAAACTGCATGCGACATGTAGATATGGTTACATTGGTTCCTGTTGGGCGCCAGGTACCATTCACATACACCAGGGTCGGCAACGAAAACGTCAGGCAAGCACTTTTGAAAATGATTGAAATTTGCCAG